GGCCAGGGCAGGAGCAGGTGTGGCCAGACCCAGGCCGGTGCCTCCCACTCAGCGCCGCTCTACCTCCCAGGCCCTCGACGTGAGTCTGCGCTGCCTACAGGGCTTTGCCTCTGCCTTGCAACCATCTCAGTCCTGCCTCTGAAGTCCCACAAGAGCCCACGTCGTGCACCCGCTCACCAGCCGGGGCCGCGGGACAGCCGGGCTCGGCTGTGCTGACAAACCCAGGGACCTCAGGTCGCAGTTTCAACTCAAGAGCAGCTGCCCCTCTGGTGGCTGGTGTCACAGAAGCCCAGCCACCCCCAGAGTGGGACTCGGGGGCTTTGGGCAGAGCAGGATAGGCTCACGTTGCTCACGGCCTGGTGCAGCCCCAGTGTCCCCTTTGTGTCGTGCACGGGCCGGGCTGTGGGATCCTGAGCCATGCTCGGCGCTGCCTTGTTCCCCTGAAGTTCTGCTCCAGGCCTGGTTCTGATCTGGTGACTACCTGGCTCTTCCCTCGACTGTGCCTGGGGCCGGGATCTGCACACAGCAGGGCCTCAGGAACCTCCTCCTCCTCCATTTTGCAGAACACCAAAAGCATTTTAACAAAATGAGAGTTCAGAAAAGGAAAGATTTTTAACCAGTTCGTGCACACAGGCCTTCTTCTAAAATGAAACCGTAACTTCTACCCATGCCCACAGATGAGACGCAGCAAAGGCTGGTAGGATCTCACTGTCTGGCACGCAGGCAGCCTGTCCGCCGCGGTGGGACCCGCAAGCAGCACCAGGCTGGGCAGAGGCTGCCTCCCTCCACCGCGTGCCTGGCTCACTTCTTCCCAGCTGTGTGCTGAGTGCCAGCTGCCCTGAGCCAGGAGGGACTGCACTGCGAACTCTGGACAAGAAGAGGAGATAGGGAAAGTGTTCGGGGGAAGGAGTGGGACCCGAGCAGGCTTCGGAAACGGGACCGAAACGCATGGGTGGGTGGCGACCCGGCCAGGGTGCAGGGGGCCAGCAGACAACACACAGGCTGCACTCGGACAGACAGCACACCCCGCTGGATGGGCACAGAGCAGGCCAGAGCAGACGTGGAGCCAGGGAGCGGGGTGGAGAACAGCCAGATCACACGGCGTCTTGAAATACTGGTCTACCGACGTATCTGTATTGCACTGGTAAGTTTTATTTTTAGAAGTTCTATTCAAAAACTATGTACTTCCAAAAATAAAATTATTTAAAATGACGAGGGGCACCCGCCCGCCTCTAGCACTATCTGGGAACACGGACAAAGAAACCTCGAGCCTGCTTTGTCAGTCACCTGAATGTCTGGAGACACAGGGCCAGGACAGCTGCTTGGCATGGCCGCCGGGCCAGGCTCCGGATGCTTCCACCGTCAGTGCTTGGCCCAAGGAGTTTCCAAGGGAATGTTTTGGGCCTTCTTGGTTTGCTTGTTTTTTAAAGTGCCAGGGATTGGACGCAGGGCCTTCATGCTGTGCTGCACCCACAGCCCTTCCGTTATTTTTTATTTTGAGACCACGTCTCACTAAGTCATCGACTTGCCCCGGCTGGGCTTGAGCTCTGGATCCTCCTGCCTCAGCCTCTCTGAGTGCTGGATTACTGGCCTGCACCACCACGCCTTGGCCAGAAAGTATTATTTTTAAAATGTTCCAACTTCTCCAAAGCTGCATTCAAAAGTTAAGTTTGAAATTTTTTATACCTTTGGTTTTTGTAGACTATACTTTTACAGACGTGTGTTTAGAATGCACATCCTAACAAGCCTGCGGAGCTCACAGTAAAGCTGGCTCAGTGGAAGATGCTGTCGATTATGTTTTTAAAGAGAGCTCATAAATGTTCTAGTGCAAAAAACTTGTAAAATGTATTAACTTCACCGAGGCATCATTTACCTACAGTAAAGCCACAAAATTCAAGGTAGATGAGTAATGACATCCTGCACCTGATCCACTGATTTTCCTCCACTCATCTGAGGTAAGTTTTGTGTTCTGAGCAGCCCAGAAATGGAATCATACCAAGACTTCAGGACTCATTGAAAAAAGACTACTGTCGTCTGAGATTTTTACATGTAAAAGCACATTTCAGAGGTTTGTCCCTCTTCGGGGCTGAGTTATATTCCACTTTGAAGCATGCCCGATATACTCATTATCCCATTTCTGAACAATTATGAACAGAGCCACCCCCTGAATATCCGTGCATGGGTCTTTCAGTCTCTCTTGGATAATTCCTGAGAGCAGAATTGCTGGGTCAAGAGGAAAATGAATGTCTAATTTTACAAGAAACTGTCCAACTGTCTGCAGCAACTCTACATCCATACGCACCATGGAATACTATTCAGCCACAAAAAGGGAACCCTGTCATCTGTGGAATGAGATCATAACATTAAGTAAAACAAGACAGTCTAGAAAGACAAGCACCAGACACCCTCTCTCAGATGTGGGATCTAAGCAGCTGTTCATACAGAGTGGGGCAGAGTGGAGGCCCCAGAGGAGGGGTGCGGGTGCAGCAGGGGTGATGGGAGAGTCTGACGGGGACACCGAGCTGAGTGACCGGGCTGAGCTCCACAGGGCTGCAGAGCCCGGGATGTGCCAAGCCCTGGGAAGGGAGGGTGGGAGGCGCGGGGAGAGGGGCTGAGCCGCCGCACACACCACAGGACGCTGCCCACCGCCATCTCCGCACTGCATAAATGAATGTGAGCTCCACGGGCCACACAGGCCGTGCCGGGCCCAGGCCCTGCCCGCAGGAGCTGAGGATAAGCCCCAAAGTCTCCATGCTGCGCCCCTGATGAGCCGAGCCAGCATCTCTTCGCGCCCTTGAGGTGAGGCTCCTGCTTGTGCCTTTTGCCTGTGAACTGAGTTTCTGTCTCACATGGGGTTGCAAAGTCTCACTGTGTGATTCTGGTCAGCAGAGAGGGGCCGTGTCCCAGTCGGGGCCTCCCTGGAGACCCCATCTCAGACAGCTGCTGGGGGCAGTGTCCTGCGACACTTGAGAGCATTACTAAACAGTGGAAGAAGCCGGGTGTGGGGCGCACATCTGCTACCCCAGCACTCTGGGAGGCTGAGGCTGGAGGGTCACAAGTTCAAAGCCGGCCTGGACAGCTGAGAAACTTGGCAAGACCCTGACTCGGAATCTTTAAAAAGGAATTATGGGATATGTGTGTTTAAAGCAAGGAGAGGGACTTTTGAGGAAAATGCACAGCCATGTGTCTTTCACTGCGATAAATTAAAATAAGTAAATACACTCACCAAGTTTTCAATTACACCTCATATAGACAACGGGGAACCACTGAAACTACGCAGTGAAAACGTTATTTCCCAGCCTGTGCCATCAACAGATGCAGGGTCAGGCTTTGTTCCACCAACCAGACCCAGAAGCGCAGCAGAGAGGCTGGGATCCCGTCCACGACTTCGGTGCAGGGACTGCAGTGCAGGCGGTGAGCCGGACCCGAGGTTAAACATGCAAAGCAACTATGTAAATGTGCCTGGCTGGGAACAAAATCAAAGTGCCAAAGACGGGAAGTGGTTCTGTCCGGCAGCACAGGCTCAGCTCTGCACTAAGGGTCTGAACAGCTGCTTGAGCCAACCGGCTTCTCACGTTCGGAAGCCACGTGAGCTGTTCCTGCAGGTGGACTGGAACGCCGCGTCTGTCACCTCTCCAGCTTTTACGGCACACGGACGCAGGTGTGGTTGCTGTGTAAGAACCTTACAGACTTAGGTTTTCGGTGTCTGTGCCCACGTCTGCAGCACGTCCCACTCCGCTCCCCTGGGCCCAACACAGTTGCACTCTGGGTCCCTCCCTGCCCTCTCCCCATCTCTTGGCCCCTCGTGAAGGACCTTGTTCCTTGTTACAGAACCCCAAGGCCCTGCGGGGACTGTGCACACGCAGGAGCCCCTGGCCGCGGCCCTGGAGCTGACACCCAGACCTGCTGTCCCTGTCTTCTTCTGGGAAGAACCGGAAACAGTCGCAGCAGTTTCTGGGTGGACGCAGTTCCCTAGGAAGTTTTCCAGCAACCGTTCCTGTCCCTTTGGGCCTACCCGCCCGGCCGCCCTTCTCACAGCGGTGCCTCGGGGCCCTGGCTCGTGGCGACGTCAGACAGTTCCAGGCTGGGGCTGTGTCACTGCCACGCCAGCAAGTGACAATGTGACTCTGTGGTTACAGCTTGTGCCTGAACCAGCCCTAACGGAATCTGACACACCCGGAATGATAAAAGTTGAAGAAGAAAGTAGCTTTTAGATGGAACGAATTCACTCTGGTGTTCAATTTCCAGACAGTAATTGCCCTCCAGAAATTCCAGCGCGACCCTGGAGCTGTAAAGTCAGAGAGAGAGGAGAGCATGAACAGAGCGGCTGGCCGGTGACGATGTCAGTAAATACAAGGCAAAGGCCACCGAGGCCACCTGGGCAGAGCACGGCAGCGGTGCTCCAGGGGAAGGGCCCCAGCCGCAGCGAGGGAGGCCTGGCGACCACGCAGCCACTGCCACAAGGGAGTGATAAAAATAGGCCTAAAGCAGCAGGGGACCATGTAAAATAGTTATTTTAACATTTGGCAAAACCCGAGAAGATTGACGAAGGGTAGTAAAGTACCGTGCTGATACCCTCCCCCGCTTTCTGCACACCGTGCGCTAAGCAGATGCATCGTGACACTGCAGGTAAACAAAAAACAAATGTGATTCATAATCACCTGAGAGGTCTCCATTGAAACTTTGGATCCATACCCTCCCAATGAGAAAGCAAATTACCCAAATAGTCAAAGCACCGGTCCTTTTGCAAGATTAAAAGATACAATCTAGCTGTTAGCCAACAGAAAAATTTGGAAAATTTTAATAGTGGTTAATAGTGTTTTTTTAGCACATATTTTGGAAACAGTTCAAAATATCAGGCGACATTCCTGACGTCTGCTCTAGGCCCACGAGTGAGACTTCTCGGCCCCACAAAGCCTGCAGCCACCGTGCTGCGCCCACCACTGAGCCACGTCCCTGCTGAGTCAGAGCTCAGAAAGGCCCTCTGCCCCATTTCTTACCTGCAGCGACTGCTGGCTGTTTATGGACATTTGCAACAGACTTTGTCTTTTGGTTAACTGTGTCCTGCTGTGTACAGTGGAGCCTCGGTTCCCCGGCTCGACTTTCTCCACGATTCTGGTCCCAAACTGAGCTGCGCGAGAACAGAATCATCTCCCCGTGAGGTCAACACTGAACCTAACCGTGAAATTTGATTCAGTTCTGGTCCAGTTTGATTTGCACCCAGCTCCACGGAGTTAAGTTTGTGAGCCGAGGTACTGCTGCACTGTGTGACTGGAATGAACACTTCATCCAGAAGAAAAAGCTTACCTTTCAGAGGTTGTGATGATAGAAATCTTTAAACCTTTCTACGTTAATTTCTTAAAAGATTTCTGTGGCAGAGACAGAGGAGACGGTAATCCACGGACACCTTTCAGGGTCAGAATAACGTCCATATGGATGAAATTCTGTGCGAGGGGAAAGTAGAACGCAATTCACATTTGAGATAAATAAATGATAAAATAATCTCAGAAGGTTAAAGAACAGGGCGCTGCAGCCGCTGAAATGAACGGCAGTGCGGCAGAGGGGCAGGCTGTGCGTCACAGGCTGAGCCAGCTCGGCTGAGCCATGCTCAGGACTGCAGGGTGTGGGGCTGGAACCTGGGGCGGGGCGGGGGTCACAGGAGCGCCTCAGCCTTGGCCCCGCACCATGCTTGCGAGTGCGCGCCCATCACCCCCTCGCCTTCACTAGAGACCTTGAGCCTTACACCGCTCCTGGGCATCAGCAGCAGCAGAGGAGGAGCCCAGAGGGGGCGGGGACGGGGGCGGGGTCCCCTGTCCCCTGTCCCCAGGCGTGAGTCCTCTGTAGCCAGAAGCTCCTCTTCGGCCTTAAGACACAGAGCGCCTTCTGATGACCAACGCCAGCCGGGGACGCATACTTCGCTCCCAGCACTCACCTGGGGTGTGACGCAGGGTTTTCTGCAGGACCCCTCTGTGGGTCCTCCACACCGAGCGGAGAGCACGCAGGGGCAGGGCTGTCTGAGAACTGGCCTGGGACCCTGGCAGGGGAAGTGTTTCAGCCCCACTGGAGGGAGCCCACGCTGCGGAGGGCTGTGGGTCATCTGGAAGCCATGCTGTGAGGAGCAGAGCTGTGGTCAGAGCCCAGGGCCACAAGGGAGAGGGATCAAAGGAGGTCAAAAGGGAGTTGACACCAGCACCCACTGGATTTCAAGAGAAAAGGACAAGTGCCAAATGTGGGTAGCAAGCCTTAGAACACAGGGTGAACAAGAAAGTATGACTCAGCCAGACCTGGTGGGGTATCCTTCTGATCCCAGCACTCAGTAGGCTGAGGCAGGAGGATCCCAAATTAGAGCCCAACTTGGATGATTTAGTGAGATCATGTCTCAAACAATAAAAGGGCTGGGGGTGTGGGTCAGTGTGCAGAACCTGGATTCATTCTCCAGCAGCACGTGCGAGTATGCGCGTGCGCACACACACACACACACACACACACACACGCATGCACACACGCAAACGTAGGGTAGAAGTCAGCAGGAGAGCAGAACAGCAGGCACAGGGCGTTCGCATATTTACCACTCTGTCCCCTGCCACCACTCTTTGGCTGCTGCCCCCAGGTTCTGGTTCCATTTGTGACAGGACCTCCTGTGCCACAGGCCCGTCTTCTCCCAACCTCAGCCACTGCCGGCTCCGGTCAGGGGCGGGAACTTGGCGTGGCGGGGTCCCAGGCACTGGGCTGCCCGGGAGGAGGGGATGACAGCTGAGGGCAGGAGCCGCACTGCTGGCACAGGCTGCCCGCCGGAGAGGGGAACCCAGCTGCAGCGCCCAGGACCGGGCCCTGAGGCAGGGATGGGGAGGGCAGCCGGGAGCAGCCGGGCTGAGCGGTGGTGTGAGCTGAGAGCACCAGTGGGACCCTGGGCGCTGCCCTGCTGCTCCCGGTGCACCACAGAGCTGCGCGGCACTGAGAATCACGCACTGCTTCTCCACAGGTCCGAGATAAATCGATGTCATGGGTGTTGTGTGGGAGACAGCAGGGACTGAGGGCCGTCGGAGATGCACATTCAGCCCAGGCTGCAGGCTCTGCACACATGGGTTTGGGTCAGTCAATGCTTCTCTCCAAACCTGCATTCTCTAACATGTGAAATGGGGTAATAAGAACTGTGGAAGGATCAAACCGCAAAAGTCAGCAAATAAGCAGCAAGCGACATCCACAGTAAATGCACAAATGAGCCCTCACACCCCAGGCGCACCAGTCATGCCCAGCAGGAATCTGCACGCTTTGGCCTGGGCAGGGGTTGTTCTGGGGAGTGGTGCATCCTACAGCTGTCATCTAATCAAGCTTCCTAGTTTTATTAAAATGAAGCTGATGCTTAGAAAGCTTTGGTGACACCACCGAGGTCACACAGCTAGGAGTGACTGCTGAGTGTGGGACCCAGCTGCCCTGACTCCAGACCTGGTCCTCCTGGTTAGGACAAGGCGATTCCTGTTGGGTGTGTAAGATGACGGATAAGGTGCCACTCCTGATAGATCCTAGGGCTTTCCCCCAGTCTTTCTAGGACAGTGAAATGGTGAGGTCTGCACGGTGTGGTCCCCAGTGGAAGAGGGACTTCTGGTGGACCCCAGAGTGCTGGCCTCCAGGCTGTTGGCAGGGTTAACATCGGCTTAACCTTGGAAGACAGATGAGCAGAGCTGGGGCCCTGCCTGTGGCTCGAGACTGGGACACAGCCCTGACTAAGTGCAGCTCTGTCTGCTTTGCATCAACTCCACTGGACTCTGATAATCTCTGCCGAGCCCCCGGGCCGGAGCCAGCACAGAAAACTCCATCCATCGGCTCTGTGCTCATCCTGGGGAAATGGCCTGGAGCTCCGGGGGTGCTGGACTCCTCCAATGCCTGACCTGCAGCCATGTACAGCCACAGGACCCGGGAGGGGACTGGCACTGCTCCCTCCACAGCCAGCTGTCTCTGATGGCCAATCAATGCAAAACAATGACCACACTGGTACTTAGGGCACACGTGGGGCCGGCACCGATGCAGTCTCAGGGCGCCCTGCACAGCCCCTTCTTACCCACTTCGTGTACTGGGCCTACACCCTGAGCTGACTGTGACACAGGCCTTCTAGTTCTGATGAGACTTGGGGGACTGGGGTGCTGGCAGCTCTCCAAGTGAGTTTTAATCCTGCATTCTACCATGTGTATGAACCTTGAAAACATGACATTAAAAAGAAAGAAGCCAACAAAAACTACCACATACAGATGGTGCCCTCGGTGTGAAATCCACTGTAGAGACAGAAAGGACTGATGATTGCCCAGGGCTGGGGGGCGTTCAAGGGGATGGGAGTTTTGTCGGGGGTGAGGAAATGCTCCAAACGACTGTGGTCACAGTTATACCACTCTGTGAACATTCTACAAATACTGACTACTGTCCTTTAAATGGGCGAGTTGGACGGTTTGTGAATTACATCTCAATAAAATGTTAAGAAACAGACTCAAACTGAAAGTACTCTTGAATTAAATAGTCACACGCTGGGGACTGGAACAGTTGCTTCTTCTCTGACTTTGAAGTTTGAGGCACCTGGAAATCAAGATTTCACATGAAGGGGAGAAGGCACAGTTGGGGTCACCACCCAGCACCCTGCCTGATGCTTGCACGAGAAGGGGAACACACCTAAACACCGACTCTCATCACCCCTAAACAGGGTGACAGAGTCAGTGGGATTAGACAAGCTAAACGTGAAATAAAGCCTTCTGCTTTTACTCCTTAAAATAACGTAAACCACACGACAATCAGCAGAAAACCGTAATTTGCATGGTGCTTAGCCACACCCAGACCCACGCTCCTAATCTGCTGTTGGAGAGAGGGTGATTTGGACGTAGCTTTTGCCTCGGCCAGGGGAGGAATGCTGCATCCCCACATCACCCTCGCACCCTGTAGAAGCTGGAAACACACGCTCGAGCCCAGAGTCCTGCACACAGCGCAGCGGGTTTCCCGATTCCTGTTAGCCCCAGAGCCTCAGCAGCGCTACAGTGGCAGGTAGTTTTCTCACAAAAGGGCATCTCACGCAGCACTGAGTGGAGCCCATTTCTACCTGATAAATGCCTGAGCCTGTAAACTCTGAACCCTCATTGGCCTTTGTTGCTTGTGACCTTGTTCGAATGATTAATGTTCCTTTAACGACCACGGGGCCCAGAGGGCAGCCAGAGCTCACTGTGTCCAGGTCCTGAGGCAGAGCAGAGTCTTCCAAACAGACCTGTTCGGACTGTGCACCCGGTACGGGGTTGGGTCATTTCCAGTTCAGATATCCTAGTAGAGGTGCACACTTTTTGTTTCAGAGAGTTGTAAAAGGGCCTTCATTTTTCAGTTTCTGCAAAAAAATGAACGAACATGCTGACACACTTCCTCATCGTCTCCAAACTCACAGTGAGGGAGGATTGCAGCCGTAGGGTCACACGTGTACTTACTATCGCTTCCTCGGTGTTTGCAGCATTTGGGCCACAGCGCTGCTCTCCCTGGCTCACTGAGCGTTAGCTTTGTTAAGCTAGGTGAAGTCTGAAAGGCTCCACATCCCTACCCACGGTTATGATTCAAAATTTAAAAATCAGAGGTGGACGCTGAGAAGACGCCAGCAGAATCACTTTAGGGACCGAGGGGAAAACGGACAGGACCTTTCCTAACTAACGTCACCCTGGACGTGGTAAGGACAACACTTCTCTCGTTGGCTTTATACTGGCCTTAAAAACAAAAGCCAGTGAGGGGGCAGGAGGGAAGGAGGGAGAGTCCTCCTGGCTTACAAAATATTTTATGAATCCAATGTCCCTGAAAAGCTTTATAGGAAATAAATAAAATGAAAAGTCCTTCGCGACTTGCTTGGTATCTACATCATTACTCCCAGTGGATAAAAGGATATTTGCAGCTCTGAAAATAAATGTGTTTGATGAAATGCATTTTCTTCTGCCTTCAGTAAGAAAGGTCAGCCTAGCTTTGGGATGAGGGGCCTAGGGGAGGGAGAGGCCAGGCTGGGAGCGTTGTTTTCAAAGAGCACAGCTGCCATGAAATCAGTGAGTTGTGGCATCAGCACCACAAGCCACATCTTTCCCACCTCAGCCACGGTCCACGTCCCTGGAAGCAGGGTTTCTGCTTAGCAATTTGCAGAAAACATCATCAGTGAGTTTTTTTGTGTAATGGTTCTAAGGTTAAAGTTGAAAATACCAGTTTGATGTTGAGCAGACCTGTGGACGTACTTCATGTCATGTCCACATTTTCTAGTAAATCATTTCATTATCCATAATAATAATCTTCACTGGCTTTGCAAATAATTGCTTTGCTAAACTTAAAGGAAGTCTGATTTTAATTTGCTATCTACATCTACATTCTCATATTCTTTTTATAGATTTTTTCAACAAGTTATCAGTAGAATCTTCCTTCACTCTAACATAAGTGAAAGTTTTATCTATCCTGAGATATCACCAAAATAATTTATTGCTGGGGAAACAAAACCTTTTGTCTCAAAATATATTTCTTCCCGACAGCTGTGGTATTTCAGGGAA